CCTGAGCACCACTAGGAGTAATTCCTGAGTGCAGACCAGGAGTAATCACTGAGCATCACCAGGTGTGACCCTCTCCCAAAGTAAATGAATACAAATATCCCTCAATAATAACATCAAAATCAGGACCAGGTTTCCTGGACTCCAAGTCCCTTTAGCTTCTCCCAACTCCACTGTCGTGACTCACTGTTCAGAACTACCCAAGGTTCTCCTACAACTTCCCACGTATAGAAGAACAGCCTCAGCCAACAGTCAACAATAGTGTTCTACATTATGTTCACACAGAGCACAGCACTGGGTGCTCTACAGGAAGCCATCGTCTTTCAAGAGTTTCAGTATAACGTAACAGGAGCTGTATGAAAGTCATTAGATACAGCAAAACGATTATTTTTTAACATCCTAGTAATGGCCAGCTTGAAAGACAATGGGGAACAAATTCCAGTGAACAGGACCATCAAAGTACAGTCCCCAAAAAACTTTTGAAAGTTGTCATGATTTTAGGAAGAAATTTTCAGAGCTTCTAGGGAATGGGAAAACACAACTTCAAACTATACTACAAAGCATTAGTAACTAAAACAGCATGATATTGGAAAAAAGACAGACCCACAGGCCAATGGAATAGAGCTGAATATCCTAACACAAACCTTCAAATATAAGATTACTCTAATTTTTGATAAAGGAGCAAGAAATGTGAAGTGAAGCAAGGAAAGCTTCTTCAACAAGTGGTGCTGGGAAAACGGACAGCCACACACACAATATATATATATGTATATATATATGTATACACACACACACACATATATATATATATATGAACTCAGACCTCTCTCTAACACTGGGCACAAAAGTCAGATCAAAGTGGATTAAATACCTCAATATCAGATCTGAATGCATAAAATACATGGAGGAAAATGTAGGTAGAACCCTACATTACATTGAAGCTAAAGACATCTTTAAGGATGAAACACCACTGACCAAGCAATTTTAAACAAAGATAAACAAATGGGACAACATTAAACTAAGAAACTTCCACACCTCAAAAGAAACAGTGACCAAAAACACAGAGAGAGCCTACTAAATGGGAAAAAATATTTACCCAATACCCATCAGACAAGGGGTTAATATCTAAGATACATAAGACACGGTAGAACTTTACCAAAAAAAAAAAAAAAAAACTCCACTCCCATTAAGGAAAAATGGGGAAAGTAAATGAACAGAAATTTTCTCAAAAAAGAAATAGAAATGGCCAAAAGGCCCATGGAAAAAAATGTTCTATATCCATAATCATCAGGGATATGCAAATCAAAACAACAATGAGGTGTCATCTTACAACACAGAGACTGGCACACATCAAAAAGAACAAGAACAAACAGTCCTGGTGCAGATTTGGGGAGAAAGGAATTCTCATTCATTGTTGTGGGAATGCTGACTGGTCGAACCTTTCTGGAAAACAGTATGGTCATTCCTCAAAACACCAGAAACTGAGTTTTTATATGACACAGCAATACCACTTCTGGGAATATATCCCAGGGGTGCAAAAAAGCACAGTAGAAATGATATCTGCACTTGTATGTTCATTGCAGCTGTTGAAGTTTCAAAAGAGTTTGGAGGATCTAAAGCAACTTGGCAGTAGCCTGGTTTTTCCTGGTGAGAAAGAATATGTAATGAAATGTACTGGGATGGTAGAGTTCAGCGTTAATGCTAAATAAGGGGGAATGTCTATGCTATTGACTATGGGATGGTGGAAAAGATTCCCCACTTGGTTATTTCCATGGGATGAAGGAAGACAGAATCCTAAGGAGGCAAGTCAATTAGCCTGGCTGGGTCAACACTGGGGGGGTGAAAGGTGATGGAGGTGCTGATAAGAGGTCTGCCAATAAATTGGTAATTCCAGGACTTGTTTCCCAGGTGAGAGAAGGTACAAGAGTTATTCATCCATAACAACACAGTGAGAATTTGATATGTTGGCCAGAGTCCTGACACACCACAGAATAGCATGAGAAAGTAGGTCAAAGGTTTCCTTATGCCAGCAAGGACCCCGAAGTGACTCAAAATGAACCAGAATGCCTGACAGGGGGCTGAGGTTCCAAGTGGAGCAGGTGTATTGGTGGCTGGAGGGAAAAAACAAATGTATCAGCAGTAGAAGAAACCCTACTAAGATGTAGGCTATAAATCCAAATTTCTCCCCCTGCACCAAGTTCCAGGTTCACAGAAGCCACCCCACACAGAAATAAAAGAATGTAGAAATCCTAAGTGAGAAAACCCAGCACTGACTTGATTGATGATACTCAGACAAGAGTTGTGGTATACATTAGATTTTTACATGGCATTTGAAGATTATACAAAGTGAATTCACCACACCTGCTTTATAGGACCGTCTCAATATATTAAAGTGACACTGCGATGGGGTAGGTCCAGTACACACCTCTCTACCAGGTACTTGGTCATTACTACTGTTTGTGATGGAAATGACCCGTGACTTTCAACTCCACTGCTTACTACACAGTAAGATGTATTGCAGTGTGTCCCAGCTTATTGAGATGACTGGAATCAAGAGTATCCAAAACACTTACTCAGAAATAACAAATTCCATTTTCTCACGTATAAGTAATGTGACCCGTGTTTTGTATTCAGTCACTCTACCTGTAACACAAAACTTTACCTTTCAGCAGTTAAGCTACACTGATTTTAAATTATCGTTTATATAAAAGAATACGTGAATCAAGAAGGCATTTCTCTGAGGAGATCCAGTCCCGAGTAGTTTTGCTGACTGTTTGTCAAATCCATTCTGATTGCATTACATGAAAACAAATTTAACTGACTTCCTGTCTTCACCAGCCACCACACACCTCAGAAGGTTACTGGTCACTCTTCCGTTAACACGGTGTTTCCAGAGTGAGAATGGCATCGATCAACAACACTGCGCTCAAGTGTGCTGGGAGGGCAGCCAAAAAGGAACCTTCGTTCACTGTTGCTGGTCAGAACGTCACCTGCAGCCTCTATAGAAAACAATTTGAAAATTTTTCCCAATAAATAAATAAATAAGAAGAATGGAACTCCCATTTCACCCACTATTCCACTTCTAGCAATTGGCTCCCAAAACAGAAAAAGTTGAATGAATATGATCACTGCAAACACTTAGAACAATAGTCAGGCTATGGAGGCAACCAAGTTCCAGCAACAGATGAATGGATCAAGAAGTTGTGGTTATAGGGGCCAGAGGGGTATAGGGCTATACTTAATGGGTAAGGCGCTTGCCATGCACACAGCCTACCTGGGTTCAATCCCCAGCACCCCCTATACTCCCTCAAGGCTGCCAGGAGTGATCCCTTAGTGCAGAGCCAAAATTAATCCATGAGCATCAATGGTGTTATCCAAGCACCAAAGAAAGAGAAAAAAAGTTGTGATACATATACACAACTAGAGTATTATGCAGCCCAAGGAAAAGTAAAGCCAGGCAGTTCGAGACAACTTAGATGGAACTGGAGAGTGCATACTGAATGAAATAGGCGAGAGGCCAGTGGGCAAAAGCAGGATTATCTCACTCATCTGTGGAACACAGAGAAGCAAATCAGGGCACGGACAATGTCAACTGATAATAAACCGCAGATGCTGGAACACAGAACCAAGAGTGAGTGCCAGGTTTGAAGTGCAGGGGATGAAGTACTTGACTGGAAGTAACTCTGGAATACAAGTAGAGGGTTCTCAGCACATACATGGGTGATGCTAAAACCATGCACTAAAACCATAATGTTAATTAACAAATAATGGGGGGCCAGGGGAGGGAATGAATGTCAGGCAGGAATAAGGTGGGAAGATGGTCATGGGCACCTTGATCGTGGGTTGTGCAGTGATCTTGTACATCAATACAACTTAAACACTATTGCAATCCTATTGCCTAAACCGCAATACATACATTTTAAAATAAAATAAAGCCCTGTTTCCCCAAGTGTGTGATACAGTTTCGGAACTTCTGCTTTAAAGCAACATCACTGGGGGCTAGGAAATAATTCTCATCAATGTATTTATTAACAAGAAAGACGACTGCATATTTATGGTAAGTGAAGCACTGTTGCATAATTGTGCAGTGCTCAGGGGACCATACGGGATGCTGGGGAACGCAAGTCGACTCAGTACAAGGGAAACGCCCTCCCCGCTGTCCTATTGCTCCAGCTCCACCAAGGCTTCTTGTGCTAACCAAGACATTGCTATTTTGTTGTATTTTAAATCACGGTCTTTTACCTGCACCAGGCTGCAAATAAATCACAGGCAGGAAAGCCTCGTGAAGCAAAGTGTAGCTGAAGCGATTTTAAAGAAGACCGACCGGGGAGGCAGGACTTGAGTCAGTCAAAGCAAGTTTTCCAGAAACTTCGCCCAAGTCTCAGCAGATGCTCCGCTCAGGCGGCGATGGCACCGCCTCCTGTCAATCAATGACCCCCGCGCCAATCAACCGCTCCCGCTTCCCTCTCAAGCCCCGCCCCCCTGAAACTCATAGCCCCGCCCATAAGCCTTAGGCCCCTCCCTAAGCCCCGAGTTCAAGAGCCCCGACCCGGAGCCCCACCCCCGAGGACCGTCCCGGAGCCCCGCCCCCCGGAGCCCCACCCTGGAGCTCCGCCCCCGAAGCCCCGGCCCCGCCCCCGAGCCCGAGCCCCGCCCCAGCCCCGCCCCAAGCCCCGCCCCGGAGCCCCGAGCCACTCCCCGGAGCCCGAGCCCCGCCCCCAGCCCCGTCCCGGAGTCCCTAGCCACGCCCCGGAGCCCGAGCCCCGCCCCCATCCCCGCCCCGAAGTTCCGAGCCACGCCCCGGAGCCCGAGCCCCGCCCCCAGCCCCGTCCCGGAGCCCCTAGCCCCGCCCCCGGAACCCGAGCCCCGCCCCCAGCCCCGCCCCGAAGTCCGAGCCCCGTCCCCGGAGCCCGGCCCGGAGCCCCGGCCCGTCTCCAGGGTGTCGCGGGCGTCCAGGGTGTCGCGGGCCGTTAGGCGTGGCGGGAGCCTTTTCCTCCCCGGCCGTCCACTATGACGATCACCTACAGCTGCATCGCTAACGGCCGAGCAGTCCTCGCAGAGCTGGCCCTGACCGGCGGCTCATACAAGGTACCCGCGGCGATCCTTTGGCCGTCCTACCTTTGGCTTTTCGAGGGTGGTGCCCCCGCATACCCGCCCCTCGGGGCGGCCCGGGCACGTTAGGCCCCGCCCCCGCGGAGGTCACGCCCCCAGAGGTCACGCCCTCGCGTCGCCCGGTCCGTGCGCGGGGGATCCCGGGCTGGAGCCGCGCGGGCGCCGCCTAGGGGATGAGCCTGGTACTGCACGCGCCCAGGTGGCCGTCGCGGCGCTCCCGGTCCCTGGGCATTGCTCCTGCACCCCCTTCTGGGTTCGACACGTGCTCGTGTTAAACGTGTGAGAGAGGCGGCAGCGAGAGAGGACGGTCCTCGGCGATGGCCTGTACGTCCAAAGGCTTCATCACCAGCTTTCCTAACCACGGAGAAGGGATTGCAAAGGAGACAGGGGGAGACCCCTCGTGGGACACCCAGTGGGCACTGCTTGCTGAGCACTGAGCGGTGTGGGAGGGAGCCTCGCTTAGGGGCCCCGCGACAGCCCCCGCCGGTGTCAGAGGGGAAGCGGGCAGGGGGGCCATGCAGAGGAAACAGCCGGTGTGTTTGGGGACAAGAATGTGGCTTGTCTGGCATATGTGACCCTGGGAATAAGGGCAATAGATGAGGTCAGAAAAGTGGGCAGAGAGGGCCCGAGAGGTAGTCCAGCAGGTGAGGCATTTGCCCTGCATGCGGCCAACCCAGGACCCATCCCCAGCATCCTATATGGTCCCTGAGCACCGCCAGGAGTGACCCCTGAGCACTGAGCCAGGAGTAACTGCTGAGCATCGCCAGGTGTGGTGAAGGAAGGAAGGAAGGATGAAAGGAAGGAAGGAGAGAGAAAAGAAAAAGAAAGAAAGAAAGGAGGGAGGGAGGGAGGGAGGGAGGGAATAATAAAGAAGAAAAGAAAGATGTGGGCAGAGGCTGGTGGGGCCTGTGCTCAGCTTGTTCTAGGGAAACTGGAGAGCAGTTAAAGATTGCTCTTTTTCAAAACTGTGACTTTTCTTCAAAGTATTTTTCAAGAAAGATCAAATTTTCTTTTTTTGGGGGGGGGGGTCACACCCAGCAATGCTCAGAGGTTACTCCTGGCTTTGCACTCAGAATTACACCTGGCAGTGCTCAGGGGACCATATGGGATGGCGGGGATCGAACCCGGGTCAGCCGCGTGCAAGGCAAACGCCCTACCGGCTGTGCTATCGCTCCGGCCCCAAGATCAAATTTTCTTCTGGATATTCTTGTCCGGTTAAAATAAGGAAAGCGGCTCCCAGGGGCAGAATACCAGGTGGAGAGATAGTAAGTTCTGGAGCTGTGATAAGAGGGCATGCGGGAGCAGGGAGATCGTAGACAGCCTCTGTGAAAGGAATCCCCGAGAGGCAGTGACCGGCCCGTGTGTGGCATAAGGGACAGCATCGATCTTAGGCTGTTCCTCACGCCTGAAGTGGCATTGAACAAGTAGACACTCTAGGCAGAGAAGCAGGATTGCAAGAAGGGGGTTGGTGGGGTCTAGGCCGGCAGAGGAACAGTTACGACAAGCTGGTTGGTTGTTTTGGGGGTTGTTTTTATTGGGGTTTGGGGGTTTTGTTTTGTTCTTTTGCTTTGGGGCATGTGTTTGTTTTATTTGGGGGCCATACCCAGCGGTGCTCAGGGCTTACTGCAGGCTATGCGCTCAGGGATCGCTCCTAGAGCACCTTGGGTACCATATGAGGTGCCAGGCACCGAACCAGGTTGGTCATGTGCAAGACAAGCGCCTCACCTGCTGTACTATCGCTCCAGGCCTGTTATTTTGTTTCTGAGTCATCATGAGTTACAGTCCTGTTCATGAGAGGGTTTCACGCATCTACCGTCCCAATAGCTCACCTGCCACCAGAGTTGTCTTAGGGAACAGGCTGGTTTTGATTGTCTGTCAGAAATGAGCTGTTAATGTCTTTATTCTTTCACTTTAAAAAAAAAAAAGAATTTGCAGTCCAAGGTGGTAAAAGTGGGTGCTCTCCACTCCAGAGTTTTCTGCACCCCAGCCTTGCTCTGTTTTATGGGACTCTCCACACGCTCCTTTTCTCTCCCCTCATAGTTCCTATATTTTAAAAAAACAAAAACTATTGTGCTTCAAAAATATATGATAGGACAGGACCAGAGCAATAGTACAGTGGCACTGTACTCGCTTGCCTTGCACATATCCACCCCAGGCTCAGTCTCCCGTATCCCATGTGGTCACCCGAGCTTCTCTAGGAAGGGTCCGCGAGTAGGAGGTGAGATGGGAAGCTGGAGAAGACCCTGACACACTGGGGGAGGGGAGGAGTCGCTGACTCTCTGGTGATGGGTGTGCTGTTGGGACATTGGATGCCTGAAACACTGTTTTTCTTTTTTCCTTTCTTTTCTTTCTTGGTTTCACAATGGCATTACATACGGTCCCCTGAGTCCTCCCAGGAGTGATCCCTGGGCACAGAGACACTACCAGGTGTGACCCAATCACTCCCCCCACCCCCCACACACACACACAAAGTGAAAAAAAAATTTTAATTAAACTAAAAATAAATAAAATCGAAAATTTAAAGGACAATACAAATAGCTCCTCCAGAAGATAAATAAAATTGATAGTCAGCTACCATCACTTAGAAAGAAGAAAACATAAGTAGAATCAGAAGTGGGTCAGAGCAATAGTACAGAGGCTAGGAAGCTTGCCTGGCACAGGTCTGGCCTAGGTTTGATCCCTAGCACCATATATGGTCCCCAAGCCCTGGCAGGAGTGAACCCTGAGTATCACCAGGTATACCCCTGCTAAGAGAAGAATCAGGGGCCCACAGATGTGTTTCAGCAGCAGATGTGTGTTTTGCCTCTGTGGAGCCCTAGGTAGGCCTGACCCCTTCACACATTTCATCCAAAAATAAAAGCAAATTACAACAGATACTTCCAAAATACAAGGGATGATAAGAAACTACCTTAAAAAAATTATGCCAATCGGGGCTGGAGCAATAGCACAGCGGGTAGGGCATTTGCCTTGCACGCGGCCGACCCGGGTTCAATTCCCAGCATCCCATATGGTCCCCTGAGCACCGCCAGGGGTAATTCCTGAGCGCAGAGCCAGGAGTAGTCCCTGTGCATCGCCGGGTGTGACCCAAAAAGCAAAAAAAAAATAATAATGCCAATAAATTGAATAATCTAGAGGAAATTTACAAAATCTTAAAATCATGCCACCTTACAAGACTGAATCTGGAAGGAATATAGATGGACAAGCAAAAGGAAATTGAACCAATGATCTTGTAGCACTGTAGCACTATCCGCCCATTGTTCATCGGTTTGCTTGAGCGGACGCCAGTAAGGTCTCACAAATTGTGAGATTTGTTACTGTTTTCGGCATATCGAATACATCACGCATGGGTAGCTTGCCAGGCTTTGACGTGTGGGCGAGATATTCTCGGTGGCTTGCCGGGCTCTCCGAGAGGGGCAGAGGAATCAAACTTGGGTCAACCGGGTCGGCAGCATGCAAGGCAAACGCCCTACCACTGTGCTATTGCTCCAGCCCTACCAATGATCTTAAGTCTCCTAAAATGAAAAAACCCAGGAATAGATGATTTCACAAGTAAGTCATACCAAATCTTCAAAGGTGGTCAAATTCCCAATACTAATTCTTTTTATAGAAGTCCTTTAGAATTTCTTGCAAGGTCAGTTTAGTGGAGTTTAATTCTCTTCACTGCTGTTTGTCGGTAAAGATTCTTCTTTCTCCTTCAACTCTGAGTAGTAACCTACTGGGTAGAATCCTCCCGGTGAACGGGCCAGAGAGAGTACAGTGAGTGGCGTGTTTGCCGACTCAGGTTCAGTGCCTGCATCCCATAAGGTCCCCAGAACACCGCCAGGAGTAGTTCCTGAGTGCAGAGCCAGGAGGAACCCCTGAGCACTGCTTGGTGTGCCCCCCCCCCAAAAAAAGAGCCATGGGGAAACACTGGAACAGTGGGACCATGATCAAGAGTAGTGACACTCTGTGGAGGGTGTGGAGCTAGAATGATTTCTGCGTGAGTAAATGCACTGTAGCACTGTCCTCCCGTTCATCAATTTGCTCGAGCAGGCCCAGTAACGTCTCCATTGTGAGACTTGTTACTGTGTTTGGCATATCGAATACGTCACAGGTAGCATTAATAATTAAAAATACTATTGTAAGCCACTATTAATAATACCGTAAATCAGAGCAATAGTATATCAGGTATGTGTTTGCCTGGCATGTAGCCGACGAGGGTTCAATCCCTGACAGTGTATGTGATCCCAGGAGCCTGTCAGCAGTGAATCCCGACAGAGCACAGAGCCAGGAGTAACCCTGGGTAAGGCTCAAACCATCCCCCACCTCCCCTCAAAAAAACATTGCAAATCATAGTGCTAGAATTAAATTTAAAAAAAAAATTTTAAGACCAGAAACAGGGCCAGAGAGAGAGAGCTCAACAGCACGTGCTGTATACAGGGATCATCGCTTGATCCCCGGCACGACACGCTCTCCTGGGAACAACTGAACGACCCCCAAGTCCAGAGCCAGGAGTAGCACCAGCACAGCTGGGTTTAGCCCAGAAACAAGTGTTTGTGAACATGTGGAGAAAAGGTACAAACGCTCATACACTGTTGGCTCAGCCTCTATGAAAAACATTATACCTCTTCCTCAAAAAATAAAAAATATATTGGGGGCCAGAGTGATAGTACAGCACGCAGGGTGCTTGCTTTGCATGCGGCTGACCTAGATTTGATCCCCAGCACCCGATATGGTTCCCCCAAGCTTGCCAAGAGTGATTCCTGAGCACAGAGACGGGAATAAACCCTGAAAACCATCAGGTGTGGCATACACAGACACACAGACACACACACACACACACACACACACACACCATATATGTGCATATATATACCATGTCCACATATATGGTATATACACACATGTGTGCCATATATGTATATTACAATAAGGTCCAACAATTGTACTCCTCTACTCCTTGTTACAAATTTAAATAATTCAAAACGCTAACTAATATATGTAAATATATACACACATTTATATATACTGCTGCACTAGTTACAACAGAAACCTAGAAACAACCCCAAAATAGACATGTCCAGTAATAGACTGGACATTCATAGATGAATGGACAAAGTTGTGGCATATATGCACAATGGACTACTTCTTGGATATTAAAAAAAAATCAAAAGATGGAATCTTGTATTTCTGACAATCCGGAGGGAACTTTAAAAAGTCAGACAGAGGGGCTGGAGCAATAGCACAGCGGGTAGGGCATTTGCCTTGCACGCGGCCGACCTGAGTTCGACTCCCAGCATCCCATATGGTCCCCTGAGCACCGCCAGGAGTGATTCCTGAGTGCAGAGCCAGGAATAATCCCTGTGCATTGCCGGGTGTGACCCAAAAAGCCAAAAAAAAAAAAAAAAGACAGATACCAATGGTTTTGTTCATGATGTGGAATATATAGAAAGTCAGGAATAGGCAAACCCAACCCTCAACCGACCTTTGAACTGCAGACCTGGCATGCAGGGGACGGGCCCAGTGGGCTGAGCAGGAGGGTGCACAAGTCGTTGTCTCCGTGTGAACCTGCCTTCCTAGAACACACACAGTGTTATGAGCACTGTTGCCTCAATTAACTAATTAAATTAAAATGTGAGTGGGGCCGGAGGGATAGGAGATCAGGGAGGGGCCTTGCCTTGCACGCAGGCCGTATGGACCCCCAAGGCCCTGGGGAGTAAGTCCTGAGCACCCCAGGCTGTGACCCAAAAAAACAAATAGAACTTTAAAAGAAAAAAAAATTTTTTAAGATGTGAATTAAGATTAAAGCAAGTTTCAGACCAGAGAGCATGGAGAGCACTTGCCTTGCACATGGTCAACCCGGGTCCATCCCAGCACCACAAACTGCCCCCAAGCACACCAGGAGTGACCCCTGGGCACTGCCAGATGTGGCCCAAATCCCCGCTAACAAATCAAACCAATTATCAGCTGTATTTTCACACTTATATGCATTTTTAAAACATACACGTAATTATAAATGTTTCTTTCATGTGACTATTTCATGATAGCTTGCATCTTACCATGTATTTTAAACCACCACCCTCAAGGTCTCCTTAAACAGTGGTTCCTTGATAAACTAATCGGGATACTAATAAATTAAGGAGAGGAATAATGAAAACTCTACATTCTTCTATGAACTAAGACAAACTGACAGTTTGCAACAATTTACTTTCAGGAATCAGCAGCAGCGGTGCTCCGACAAGTGCTTCTGACAGGTGAACCAGAGTCCGTCACTCAGATGGGAAGGTAGGGGATGCCGGCGGAATGTCTCCTTTCTCCACCCACCAGCTAATGATTCCTACAACAAATGATGTGGAAAAGTATTCGTCAGGGGTATGCATATAACTGAGCTCTTGGTAGAGAAAAATTCTGCGTATGAAAGAAAAAGTCATGAATGGGAATGATAAAATGATGGAAATAATGAATGACAAATACTAAATTCAAGACAGTGGTTATTTCTGCAAAAGAAAAGAAGAAAAATCAAACTGTGGAAGGAAGTGCAGAAATGTTCATTATATCTGTACCATTTTAACTAGATAGTAGCTCTACAAGTGTCCCTGTTCTTTCCGATTTTTTTCATACTTTATCCTTACTTGTATATACTTTTTTTCCATATCCATACTTTATCCATACAGTAGGGGATATATCCAAAATATTTCATTAATTAAAAAAAAGAGTGGTTCATTCCGCCTTTTTCCCTCTGGAAAGAAAGATGGCAGCCGCTTCAGAGCTTTATGGAAAGCCAGGTATGAGTCGGTCGTGATGGGGCGACTGAAACCTCATGGGAAGGGGGGCGTTCTTGGCTTGTCCTTCATGCCCGACCGAGGTGAGGAGTTGCCCCCCACGAGCAGCTCTCCGGCACAGCCATGCCTCCAGAGCACAGAAACCAATCTCATAATTATCTGACTCTCAGCAGAAGTACTTCCAGGCTTAATAAGTAAAATAGCAGAAATCCAAAATCGTTTGATTCTTGTGACCAGCTGTAGAAAACAAATTATTTCACAATGCCTTTTCAGCATGTCTTATTTGGGGGTGTAAAATCTAAATAATAATGGTGCATCTTTTGTCGAAACAATGAATCCAATCAAAGTAGATAGAGTGTTAACTAGAATTCATCTGCCTCACAGGCATTGGGAGGGTTGGGGGGGGGGTTATTGGGGTTCTTCATGGTGAAAAATAAGTATCGGTAAAGGGAAATGTGTTTGATATTTGCATGACCGAGACTTAAACCTGAAAGCTTTGTAACTTTTCCCACAGTGATTCAATAAATCAATTAATTAATTAATTAATTTTAAAAAAGGAGTGGTTCACCTTTCTTGGACACCCTCTTCTCTCTCATCACAGAAAAGAATCTCACCTCTAATCTTTCTACTTTCACTTTTCTGATAAATGCAGTTTGCCTTCTGAAACTATTGAAATAAAAATACATAAACAAAAAATAAAACTTATACTTGAAAGTACATAGTATAAGACAAAGAATATTGAGCATCACTCTGAATGAAACAAAGGACATTATATGGTGTGACCTAAAGCCGTTTTGAAAACATTTTGCTAGTTATAGGAACTGGTGGAGAACAGAGAAGGTGTATTATTTAGATTCTTCCTTGTTTTTAAGAGGTTTGTTTTAACACCTGTATTGTGAAATAAGACAAACTGGAAAAAAAAACAGAAAAATATATATGTTATAAAGTTTTACAAGGGAAGCTGCATCATCAACAGCTTCCTTGGTCCAAAACAGAACCCTGCCAAAACTCCCCATCACATATTCTGTTTTATTCACAGCCCCTTCTGGGTGTTCAAAGTCAACCACCATGCCAGGCCAGAGAGGTCATATAGGTGGAAGGTGTTTTTCTTCCACACTGCTGACTCAGTTTGATCTCCAGCACCATACATGGCCCCTGAGCACTGCTAGGAGTGATCTCTGAGCATAGAACCAGGAGTAAACCCTGAGCACTGGGGGAAGGGAGGGGAGGGTCGCCTAACCCCTCCCCCACATCAATCGCCACTCTGATTTCTGTTGCAGTCACTAACCTGCTTCTTCATTGTCTCAGCACTTAGACATGACAGCCCAATTCAATCCATTTTTTAACTTAGTGTAAATAAAACTACATATTTTTCCATTTCTTTCCTTATTAAGTATTGCTGAAGAACCAAAACCAAAAACCCATATATATACGTATATATATGTTTTTATATGTATTTATATATATATATAAATGGGAAATATTTGGTACTTTATAAGTTGTAGGTTTTTAAATCTAATTTATCACAGTAAATGTAAATTTCAAATTAAATATGGTTATCTGAGCGATAGCACAGCGGTAGGGCATTTGCCTTGCACGCAGCCAACATGGCCGACCCGAGTTCGATTCCTCCGCCCCTCTCGGAGAGCCCGGCAAGCTACCGAGAGTGTCTCGCCCGCACGGCAGAGCCTGGCAAGCTCCCCGTGACCTATTCGATATGCCAAACACAGTAACAACAAAGTCTCCAATGGAGACGTTACTGGGCCCGCTCGAGCAAACCGATGATCAACGGGAGGGCCTTTACTTACTTTACTTTACTTATCTAAAACTATGTAAAAATATAAAGATAGTGGAAATCAGTGACAGTATAACATATAATATTTCTGTTTGTTGAAACTTTGAATCTATCTTGAAATGTGAGTTATTTCTATCTGCTATAACATGCACAATCTTAAAGAATTTTTGTCTTTATTATAATTCTATTTATTGATGTAATTTTAAATATTCAACTTTTGTAAAACTCTTGTTTAGCATAATTTAGTTTTTAATATATGCAAGATTTTCTAATTCTGACAGTAAAATATTTGTATAGCTTTATGTCACTGATGTTAGTTTGGAAGTGAGATCAAATCTTCTGTGTGGGTAGTTAATTTCTTCAATGTTCTTTTCAAAGCTTTGTCTACCATACTCTCTCTGTCGATGGGATCACTTATCTATGTGCTACAGACAAGGCCTTGGACACGCTAAAACCATCTTCATTTCTTAAAAATGTAAGTAATTTATTACACTGCTTTAAGAACTTTTTCTGTGAACAAAATGAGGAGGCTTCTATATCTGTTTTATAGATAATTAGGACTAGTGAGTGATTCGTATCACTAACCAAAAGTAGACACGGTTCATAGAGCAGAGCGACTAATGGCGTGACAGATGCCTGACCCTGACCCCTTGACTGTCTTCTGTTCCCATCTTCCCCAAACTACGGCAAGATCTGCAGAGACAGTTCACTGAGTCTACTGGGAGCTCTCTTCATAACTGTTCTTTAAACGTAAGAAAGCGATGCCCACTCTCCACAGCCCACCATGTTTGCTCACCCACCGGCCCTGCTCTACTGATTCCCAACTAAATCTCTGAGGACATGCGAGCCAAGAAGCCAAAACTCATGGACACATTGGTCCCCCCCGGCTGAAAACTCTGAGGTGCCCTCAGGAAGCAGGAAGCATCCATCAGCAACTGCACCACATCCATCACTGCAGCCCAGGCTCAACTCCACCCCTTCACTAACGTCCAGACCATAGATCCTAAAGTCTCTGGATACCCCCGATTCCGCAATACTGAAATTCCAGGAGGAGCCCAGCAACTTAGATGGGATGGTAACAGAGAGGCCAACTAAACTCAACACACTAAAGCAATAACACAGAAGGCTCAACTAGCAACAACAGTTTAGTAAGTCCTGAGCCAAGGACTTACTAACCCCATGCTGGGATATAACAATTCTCACAGAAATAAATTGATCTTTATACTTTTCGAGTTTAATATGGGAGCTTTGTTATCGAATCAACTTCAACTCTAGAATTGTGTCAACAGTTGTAGCTTTTGAAATGAATAAGTAAAATTAAAATAATAATACTAATATTTGATATACTTTTTTAATAATGTGTATTTAATTTACAAATAATCGCATAGATAAAAGGTAAGTGATCCAAAAATTGAGGCCCATATGCTAAAGATACTTCTGGAAAAAAATAATGAATCAATTTTTATATATATAAGTTTAAGTAATTGGTTTCAGTCAGAACTTACCGTCTTTTTTCTTGGTGGGAGAAGGGGGTTGTGTTACCTCTGACAGTGCTTGGGGTTTTCTCCCGGTTCTGTGCTCACTCCTGGTGGATCTCAGGGAATGAGCAGTACCTGGGCCTTCCACATACAAGGCATGTCCTCAGCCCTTAGAACAATCTCTCGGGCCCAGGAGATGCAATCTTCCAGGGAAATTCTATCCAACCAACATATAATGTGTTAAATGCTTAAATGTACATACAAATTCATAACCCTCTATGAATTTGCTAACAGGCAATAAGCACTAGCAATACATAGTCCTGCTCGTGATCATACCACGTTTGATCTCCTACCAGAATAAGGAAATTTGGTGAAAGACAGTCTCAGCAACAGAAAAGTACTAAACTATTATTCTGATAACTTTCTAATTCAAGTAGTATGTTTGTTTCTTATTTTTTAATAGGTCTAATCTCCAGTTGTATTCCATAGATATGTAATTCAGGATAAACATTTTCATCAAAATATTAATGGTGGGGCTGGAGAGATAGTACAGTGGGTAAGGTGCTTGCCTTGCATTTGGCCAATCCGGATTCAATCCCTGACCCCAAATACAGTCCCCCAAACTCACCAGGAGCGATCCCTGAGCACCGAACCAGGAATAAGCTCTGAGCATTGCTGAGTGTGGCCCCCAAACAAAAACAAAACAAAATATTCATCAAAAAAAGTTATATTGGGCTGGAGCAATAGCACAGCGGGTAGGGCGTTCGCCTTGCACTTGGCCAACCCAGGTCCGATTCCCAGCATCTCATATAGTCCCTAAACACTGCCAGGAGTAATTCCTGAGTGCATGAGCCAGAAGTAACCCCTGTGCATCACCGGATGTGACCAAAAGCAAAAAAAAAAAATCATATTAACAATAGTTACTAATGGTTATTCCCTAGTTACATTCATGAAATAGGCACATATTTTGTTTAATGTGCTGACTTGCTTTCACAACTCAAATTGTAATCCTACTTAGAAGAATCAAGAATAACATGGCATAATATTATAATTCACTCCGCTATTGCACTTAAATAATTCTGGAGTTTACCTGTGTGAACCTTATTAGCCACTTAACTAACATGCTCTGAGTCTTATTTCTCTCTGCCATTATGACAAAATAACTCTGACTTTACCACCTTTTTAAAATCTGATGACACAGACTGCCAACGCATAATTTTTTTACCACTGCTTCTGAAAATAGAGCATTAAGTACAATTAGCTGTCGGAATTCTTTCATGAGACTTGGCTCTATTCTCTAACAATCACGTAGGGTTCAAAAGAGAGCATCATGGCATTTTGCTGGGACTGTGTTTTTACTGAGTGGAAAATGAAAGAGCAGATTTTGATGTCTTGATGGTTAGGACTGCAATTCAGCCAGCTGAGCACAGGCTTTGCTTTCAGGGGGCCCAGGTTTGGTCCCCAGCATCACAAGGTCCCCAGGAGTGACCACCAAGCACCAAGGTGAGAGTAAAACCTGAGCACTGCTGGGTGTTGCTGGGTGTGGAAAAAAAACAAGTCATGGGCCACTGTCTTTTCCTTGTGTACGTGAGCTAAAGCATCTGCATTTTCCCTCCAGTCCTCAGATGTACCAAAGAATCAGATACAGTCTCACCTGATGAGGGAGTGGTATATATGGCAGTGGGGCAGAGGACAGGATGAGTACAAGCATAGTCCCCTAGAACTGCATCTTTATGGAGAAAGCATGCTTAGCCACCAGAAAGGCTAGAAGTATCATGGTTAATTCTAGGTCTCACGTTTCTTCCAGATTTTTTGCTTCAAATGAACATATACTCTGTAATTCTCCAGTTAGAATTATCTGTATAGGTTAAATGTTTCATTAATTTTCCAGGTTAGTGATGCTTTTGTGAGAAATCATTTGCTATCACAAGAATATTCTCTTCCTTCCAATGTAGTGGAGGCAGATTTCCAGCAAGTACTAGGGAAGTACATGGTATGTAACCTCCAGTTCTGCTCTTAAATATTCTGTGTTACAGTTGACAAATCAGTTTTGGAGTATCGATCAAGAGTAAAAAGATGATTGAGAACTGAGAGCTATATATAATTATAAGGAATAATATATATATAATATGTTCATAAGCAAGTAAATTGAGGTAAAGTATATCTCACATATTATTGCTTAACATTTTATGTGCAACTTTTTAGAAAGGGAATAAATACGAATGTTTGCATTCGCTTATGAAAATAGTGAAAAGTGGGAATGGAAGGGGAAAGATAAAACTAAAGTCATTTGTAGGGATGGTCTTAGGGCTCCACCTGTCTCTCCACAGTTGCTCAGGAGACCAGGCAGTACCAGGGATCAAGCCCAGGCAGGGATCCTGAGGCCTGACCAGTAGGACAGTAGGTAGGGCACTTGCCTTGCGTGCGACTGACCAGGGTTCAATCCACAGCTTCCCCTGTTGTCCCCAAGCCTGCCAGGAGTAAGCCCTGAGCAGTTCTGGGTGTAACCCAATCCCCACCCCCAAAAAACATAAGTCCAAAAAACACAGAACTTTAATGTTCAAGTTGGCTTAAGAAGCAGTTCAGATGACGTGAAAACATTGTTGGGGACAGAGAGATGATACAAGGGGTTAAGGCACTTGCCTTTTTCTTTTTTTACCCCCACACATGGCAGTGCTCAGAGATGAGTCACAGGCAGGAGTGATTCCCGAGCACAGAGCTCCGAGTACTGCTGGCTGTAGCCCCTGCCCTGATCAAAACCAAAACAAAACCAAAAGGTACTTCCCAGGGGCTGGGGACGCAGTGCAAGCGACATGACATTCTTTGCCCTAAATGATGTGCTTTGCATGCACTCGAGCTGGATTCCACCCCTGGCACCACATACCCTCCTAAACATGGCTGGTCGCACCCTAACCCTGCTCGATGGTCCTGGTTACCCCCGCACCACAGTGCCTGAAGAGCACTGCATCCTTAGGCCCTGCTGGTGGAGGATCTCCTGAGTGGCCCCTGGGTCCCCTGAGCTCTCTGGGGAGCACTTCCTGGGGTAGCTGGGTACAGCATCTTGCCTTGTAGGCATGAGGCCTCACATCCAGTCCTCAGTGCAACCCCCTCATACCATGAGGGGTCCCAGAAACACAGTACCCAGTGCCACCACAAAGGGTGCCAGGCTGCATCTCAGCACACTGCACGGATCCTGGCGCACACCACCCAGAAATGTAAGTACCTCTAGCAAGTGTCATATGAGCCTCTGCCGTGGCAGGAAAATGAAAGGGAAGGAGGGAAAAGTCCTTCCCAGCCTCTCCCCGGAAATAGTCTGATGGCAGTGTGTCCTCTTAGGGTAAAGATTGTAGCCCCAAATACCACTGCCCATTTCAAAAAAAATAAGTATTTATCACATATAAATGTTATATTTGAATGATAATGACCTGATCTCAGAAATGAAACGAGAAACACAAGCCAGAAACAACGGGGAGAAGAAAACTTCTTTCTTTTTCTTTTTTATTTTTTTTGCTTTTTGGGTCACACCCAGCGATGCTCAGGGGTTACTCCTGGCTCTGCACTCAGGAATTACTCCTGGCAGTTCTTGGGGGACCATATGGGATGCCGGAGATCGAACCCAGGTCGACCACATGCAAGGCAATGCCCTACCCGCTATGCTATCACTCCGGCCCGAGAATAAAACTCTTAAAACTCCCTGTGTTTGTGACAACAGTGTCAAGCCAACATGAGGAGACTGGCCAGTGACGTAGAGTCTGAGCATCAAAAAATAATAACTGCAGTGAATCAAATCAAACATGGCAAATATGTTGGTCTCTGTGAGTTCCTAGATTCTGCCACAGGGAGGGAAATCCTCATTAGTGAACTTTGGAATATGCTAAGGATTTCACTGAAAATCATGAGAGAGAGAGGGGGGGGGAGAGAGAGAGAGAGAGAGAGAGAGAGAGAGAGAGAGAGATCAGGCATTTATTCTGATTCTGCTACATGAATTATACTTCAA